TCCTGTCTCTGCGCTGGAGGCTGCAGCTGAGCACGGGGAACCGGAGAGTGAAGGATGGGTCTGGACGGAGCTGCCGCGCTCCAGGTGTGACCGAGCACCCCTCCTCCAGGCTCAGCGTGCCGCTCCGTCCCTGGAGACGGGCGAAACGGGGCTGCGTTCAAAGCCACGTCGTGGAGATCGCGGAGGCCAGAGGGCCGTTCGCGTGGTCTGTGCAGGAGGGAGAGCTGTCCCGGGATCGCCAGAGGTAGCGCTGGCGGTGTCTGGGCCAGCCCCTGCTGTGGCAGCCCTCAGCCAGGGCTTTACCAGCTTTTCCTGGGTAAAAGCAGTGCCTTTACTGCGTATTTACCGCGGGGTATCGCTGCAGTATCTCCCCCGGGGTAACATTCTCCTAGCCCGAGACTGCTAGCAGCCGTCGGGGGCTCCCCGTATCTTTGGGGTTGGGAGATGAGTGTAAAGCTAAAGGACTGCTCTTCCAGCCCGAATTTCACATCCCTGCTGAATTGCGCCCTGGCAATCCCTTCCCGGAGCAGCTGCTCCCAGGGGCCTTGAGTGAAACCTGAGCGGCTCCTTCCAGCCTGATCCACATGTGTCTCTTGGTGCCTTTTGCCTGCTGCTAAGGTGGAGCTTGTTGGCTCTGTGGTGTCTCCTGTGCAGCCCTAACGGCCAGTTTTCCTCTCTCTCTCTTTTTACACAGATTGCCTTGGGACACCCATCGTGTACTCGCCAGTCAAAGCAGACCTAGCTGGAAATATCAAGGTATGAAAGGGCACACGAGAGCTCTGATTCCTCACCTGTGCACCGGTTCATCTAACGCACGTTCTCCTGCATCAGGAGCACTTGGACGGGGTGAACTCCTCTGAGGCAGAGATGCTTTGGGAATGGAGAGGCAAGATCCAGAGGTGTTTAAAAGGGCTTCTTCCCATGAGGGCTTCTGGGCTCTGCAGTGGCTGCTCTTGGTCACATGCATTTATTAGCTAGGTTTATGAGTGAAACCACCAGTTAGCAGCTGTGGTGCTCGCTGCAAGCATCACAGGACACATCTGCCTGAGCTGCAGCTGTAAGCGGCTATGAGAGCGCTAACCCCTGCTCTCTGGATGCCATGCATTTCCGCTCTTCTCCTTCCCCGGAGACTCCAAACCTGATGGCTCCCTTCTGTGATCGTTTCAGAAAATTCGAGCAGTTTATGAATCCAACCCTGCCAAGTTCAAAACGTTGCAGAACATCCTGGAAGTGGAGAAGGAGATGTACGGCTCAGCATGGCCAAAGACAGGTGCAACACTGGCACTGATGTGGTTGAAAAGGTGACTCATGGCATCAGAAGCTGTGCTGGGCTCTGGGGTGTGTCTCGGTGCTCAAGGAGTGGTTTGACTGCCGACGGGAGTCTGTTGCAGAGAATACCTGCTGCCTTGGTTTTGGACTAGCTACAGAAATGTTGGCATGTGCCGTTTCTCTTGAGGACCATTTGCTCTGTGTGTAAAGGATGTTTCTCAACCTTGAAGTCCAAACAGCCCAGGTCTGGTCATTCCCTTCAGGCTGGGTTTGAACGAGGCAACAAGGGGAGAGGCAATTCGAGGGAGCAGGCTGACACATGGGCTGCACGAGCAGAAATACATCGAGCTCTTTGAGCAAGGCAGGTCTTAGTGCTCCTCGTGCTGGAGTTCAGCAGTGTGTGTTTAAAGGCTTGACCTTGGCTGATGTTCTCCTTTTGAGTGTTCAGATGAACATGTATTTACATTCCACTAAATCCCAGCTGGCCTTGAGCCTTTGTGCCACTAGCTTAAACCTCCTCCGAGAGGGATGTTGCCTGAGCCATGGGTTTCTAGAAGTGGCCTGGACCACGCAGGGCTCGTGAATGCGTGGCCGGTGCAATAACGTGGGTGATCGCCTTGCTGAAGGTGGCATTGCGAATGCAGGAGACCTGCGCTTGTTCGAGTCAGCCAGGCACCCTGCAGGGCCTGCCTTCGCCAGGAACACGTGAACGTGCAGGCGCCGAGGAAGGGTTGCATCCAGAGGAAGCGGCCGATTTCCGTGCCTGACAGCTCTGCTTTCCACACAGGGGCCTGAAGTTCATGCTAGTTTTGCTGCAGAGCATCTCTGATGGCGAGAGAGATGAGGAGCACCCAAACCTCATCAGAGTGAACGCCTTGAAAGCTTATGAGATGGCTCTGAAGAAATACCATGGCTGGATGTTGCAGAAGCTCTTCACCGTGAGTGTTTGCTTTGCTGCTGGGGCTGCCAGCAGTGCTTCTTTAAGGCCAAACGCTCTATGTTAGTTGCCCTGAGCAATGATCTGGTTTAGGATAATTAAGGGCTTGGGACCATGCTTAGATGCACAGACCCTCGATTTATTTTTAATAGTATTTCCAGGGGAGCTTCTCTGACACCCCTGCTTCAGCGAGGTTCCAGCAGTGACTCCCCGAACGCTGTGACTCTTTGGAGTACCCGGGTGGAGGCTGTTACTGCTGGGGTTGGCCCCGATGAGCCCCATGGAGTCCTGGCTCTGGCTCGGAGAGGCAGGGGAACAGAACCTAGAAGGCATCTGCTCCGAGGGGGCAAGCAGGGCCCTGCCAGCTGGTAGCGGGGTGGCCGTGACAGCGTTCTGGGATGGCTACTTTGGAGGCTGCTATGTGCAGAGAAAGCTGTTCTGGCTAATTCTCTGGAGTGGAGGTTTCCTCACAAGCTGACAGGCTCGGGGGATTTATTAGCTTTGTGGGACTGGGACTAGCGTTCACGCAGCCCGTGGCAGGTGCTCTTCCTGTCCGCAGCTGACAGAGCTCTCTAACGGTCTTACAATGTTTCCCCCCTGTTTCTTCCGTACAAGTCGGATTTGCTTAAGGCTTTAGAGAAGGGTAAAGAAGTAAAGGAGGAGGAGACCATAGAGAAGATTCGCCAGTTTCTGTCAAGGGTCACCCCCATCCTGGATGCAATTTATGAAATGTATACAAAAATGAACGCAGAGCTGAACTACAAAGCCTAACGCTTGCACAGGACTTGTACAGCTGAGAATACAGTGCAATGATTACTACCTACATCTTAATCACTGTGACAGCTAGGGCTCTTGCCGGTTGTCAGATGAATGATTCTGGCCCGGATCTGCAGTGGATAGCCCGTTTTTAAAAGAATAACTTTCTATGGAGAATATGGCAATAAAACAATGATATCCCAAGTCATCTTAGAATTGCACAAGCTTTTGTACAAAAGAGAAAACCGAGTGTTTCTAGTCCTTACCAGTGGGCTTATTTATGGCGCGTTACGCGAAATGAAGTGTGAGTGGCAGCGGTGTCTAGTGGATGCTCTTCTGCCTTTGCCGTGGCCCCCCGGCGCGATGCAGGCGGCCGCGGGGGGTCCGGGGGGGCGGCTGGCCGGGAGGGAGACCGGCAAGCCATCCGCCACGGAGGCGTCGGTGAGTGA